AACAAACAAAACCTATGATTAGTAAATGCTGTACTCTCCATTTGTTCAAGGAGATCACTGGAAATAAACATACAATACTTTCTCTTTAGTATTAATACCTATTGCTATGTAGTATACAATTTACTTTTTATCTTGTTTGTGTCTGTCTCCTCCACTGAAAAGTAAGCCCCATAAGGGTAAAGGGTTTCATTTTGCCTTGTTTGCTACTGTATCCTCAGTACTTAAACAACACTCAATAAATACATTTTGCATAAATGAATTACTTGTTTAGTAAGTTACATTATGGCCACATCAAATACTATTTAGAATTGCATCATGGATAATAGTTAATCCCATGTTCTGTGAAATGCCTTTAGTGGTATCACTATTCCCTTTCAAGGTAACTAATTCATTTTTCCATGTAGAATTTAAGGTAATTATTAAATTTAGAAGTGCTCGAAATAAATTCAAGTATTTACTGAACACTAATATGGAACCAGACGCTGTTTATCATTGTACTTTTAGATTCCCCTCATTTAAAAATCACTCTTAGCTTAGAATTCTTCTATTATATATTATCATATCTCCATAGAAATAAGCTTCCCATTTTAAATATTGTAGGCAATATTTGCATTAAACTATGAATTGAAAATATAATGGAAGTCATTTACTAGACCTAAAATCAATCCATATTTACTTTTTTTTCATTTTTAAAAATTTATTTCAAGAAGTAAACAGCCATTACACACACATACTCAGAAAACAAAAACACCAAGCAAAATCAGTTTAACTAGCAACATCACAATATTTTCAATAGAGTTGCCGTTTAATTTATTGCAAAATTTCACTGGAGGGGAAGAAACTTCTCTAGTCAGATATCAGTGTAGAACAATATTCTTTGAAGTACTAATTTCCTTAAAATATATGTCCAGTAAAACTTACAATATTTACGTACTGAATAGCAATTGATATATGTTGACTGTCATGCTTTTTTGAATATAAGGAAGTTAAATAGATGACTTTTGCCAAGTGATATGCTTTTGCCACAAATAATGTCAGTATGCTGTGATATTCAAGCCATCTATTTAAATAGGTTAGAATTTTTTGCTGAAAGTTTCTTTCCAATGATGCTTAATCTATTAACCCACAAACAATCTTTTAAGTTGAACATCTCTGTTATAATCTGAATTTTGACAGTAATTAGCTTTAAGCAAACTGCTTTCTGGACCTCAGATTTCTTATGTGTTAAATGGTCTTTATAGTATCTTCTTTAACTAAAATTCTCTGGAAAATTTCATAATTATCTATGCAATTTAGAAATTAAGCACAGAGGACAAAATAATTATATTCAAATTATTTTAAATTTCTTTAATGCACATCAAAATACATTATATTTTTTCCTCTGATTAATTTTTATTACTGACTATAAAGTTCCATGCATCTATGCATATGAATAAATAGTAGCTTGAGACTTTCAAAAATAGAAAAAAGGGATCATATATTTTGATAGGTATTTTTTTCCTTTGAATTTGGATTTAGAAAGAAATGCTTTTGCAGGAAGAAAGGGAAAGTCTGATAGCACAATAACTTTGTTCTGGGGCAAATGGGCTCAGCAAGTGGGCTAGAATATGTTTGTAACTTCACAATCAGAATACCTGAATAGTCTTGCACAGAAAATGAAACAAATTTCATATTGTAAATTATATCTGCTTCTTTTTGCCCACTTTCCTATTTCTTTATTCACATATTCCTTTTTGTGATCAAAGTTAATAGTCAACAGTATTTGCAGATGAAACAATAATTTTCATTTCTTTTCAAAAACAAAAGTAAAAATATATTTAGCTTTACTACCATTAAATTTGTGGAGATAAATTAATTTTCTTTTTGCTTTTTCCCCTAAAATTGTGCTGGACACACACATGTTGTAGTGTATAAAAGAGTTATTATTGAGATATATAAAACAACATCAATAATGCAAATGGCTTACAGTAAGTATGGTGAGAGTGAGAGATGGTGATTATGAAAATCTATATACAACTATTTGCTCTTTCTTCAAAATATGCACAAATGAATATGTTTAATATGTCATTTTCAAAACTTGGATTGAAAGCTTCCCTATTGTGCTTGTCCACTCAAGTTTCACTCCTTAGCAGAGAAATGCTAGTGACCATTGGCTATAAGGTTTTGGTAAAGGGATCTTCAGACAACTGTCTATTCATTTATATGTATACATTTATATATTTAGAGGTTTGGACACCACTAAATACATATATTATGTATGTTTATTAACATAAATATTTTCTCTTTGTATTGTTCTTATTCTTGGTTTTTTAGTTGAAAATAGCTTGGAGATCTTTTTATAAGTATTTACAGTTTCTCTTGTTCTTTTACTGGATGCATGCTAGTTCATTGAATGCAATTTTATTTTGTTTCTGAACATATTTTAGGGATTTCTTTCTCTGTGTCCTCCTTGATTTCATGAAACGATGGAACAATTTTACTTCCTTCCAATGAATCCACTTTGATATCTGTAATAAGACTATTGATCTTAAAGTGGACTGGTACAAGGGATATTGTACATGAGCTGTTAGGTTTCACGGGATGTGATTTTAGAAAGGTCTTATCCCTCAGAACAGAAGAGTAAAACTTCGTAGATTTCATATTATCAGGAATTGCTGAGTCAAGCCCTAGCTGATTTGATTGTCTGTGAAATCAGGTTTAAAAGCTTATTAAGTGATTACTGGATTTGAAAGCCCATCAAATAATCACTGTATTTTCTGATTATTATTAATACACATTTATTCTGAAAGTTTTGGAAAATATAGTAAGTATATTGTAATTTAATTTTTACACTCATATCTTCTGTTGCCCTTTTGTTGCATTTTTTTTCAAGTATATATTATTGCAGACATTTAAGCCCAGCTTCTGAAACTAGGCTTCCTGAGTTTACATCCTAGCTCTGTCATTTGTTAGTTATGTGTTTTTGACTAAGTTCCATAGCTATTTTAAACCTCAGTTTCTTCATCAATAATATGGGGAGGATAATAGAACCTATATCATAGGGTTCTGAGAATCTAATAAAATACATATATGCAAAGCATATGTATTAATCCTAGCATCAGCTTCAATAAACAAATCACTATGTAAACAATTTCAAACATAATGTGTGTAATTTAGTACCATCTTTTCTCATTTAATACATTGTGAACATTTCTTTGGATTATTAAGTAGTATTTTTAATTATTAAATAATTTTAATGACAAAATGGTATTCTATGTGAATGTGTATTTCATATAACAATCCATTGTTATTGGACAGTTAAAAATAAGTTGTATGCTATTAAAATAAACATTTGTAGATATGTTTGTATTCTTTTCTAATGTAAAAAATTCTCTAAATTTAATAGCTAAGCCAATAATGTGTGCCCCATGCTAAGGCTTCTTATACCTGTTATCAAAATGAACAATAGTTTGATGGATTTTATCCTGGTCCTCAAGAAGCTTATAGTTTGATGGAGGAAAAAATATCTTAAAGAATCATGCTTTCAATGACTTACTTATGATTGTGATAAGTTTTTTTGAAGGAAAGTTTGGTGCATAATAAATGCACGCAGAGAACTTAACCTACCATGGGTGTGATATGGGGTGAAAGTCAAGCAGGGCTATTCTGAACAAGTGGCATTAAATTAAAACCTGAAGGTTGGAAGGCAACTTATCCTGGTGATGGAGCTGCTGGGAGCAGGGCAAACACGTTTTTGGAGAAACTTCACAGTGTAACATCAGCAGGAGGGAAGGACTTTGATTCACTGGAGGAACTGAGCAAAGGGACTTCACGATAAAGGGGAAGAGTGGGGAGGGAGGGGAAGCAGGGAGCTGGACAGGGAAGCAGGGTCAGATAACATAAGCCTTGTAGTCAAGTTGAGGATCAAGTCTTTATCCCAGGAGCAATGGAAAGACTTTGAAGGCTTTTGCTTTTGTTTTCTTCTGGCAGGTGAGGCATGATTAGATAAATATTTTAGAAAGCATTACTCTGGTTGCTGTAAAAAGCCTAGATGTGAGGGGCTAAGGATTGGTGCAGGAACACCAATTAGACGAGATGCTCTTGGCTTGAATTAGGAGATAGAAACGGATCAATTTGAAAACACTTATGATCTATATTTAAGAGGATTTGCTCATACACTGGACATGAGGACGGGGAAAGGAAGGAATGAGGGATGTCAAGATTTTTGGTTTGAGCCACTAAGGGGGTGGTGATGACATTTGCTGAGATTTGGAGCATGGGAAAAGATGGGCAGAATTTTCTGGATCGATCTTATTCACCTTTTAAAATGTTTTATAGTAACCTCTGCTTTCCCCTCATATCATCTATTACAGGTTGAAATTTTGTTTTGGTGTATTGTTATTTGATTAATAACTTTCTTCTCCAATAGATTGTAAGACTTATTTTTATCTTCATGGCTTAGAACATAGCCTGGGACATGATAGGCCTTTAATAATTGTTAGGTACATAAATGAGTCGGTTGCCAATGAGGCAAGAAGTTTAGGAATCTCCAAGTGGCCATGGGTCATAGATGTGTCCGGAGGTGGAAACAGAGAGTAGGATGCAGATATTCATTTGTAACATGAGGAAATCATGAAGAGAGTAGCATGAAATGAAAAGAAAGTCAAGGAGGGGAGGAAGAACTGGTAAATAAGACTAAGGAAAACTGAAAAAGGCATCTGACTAGAAAATGATTATCAAGTTCGCTTTCTACATAGAAGCCAAAATGAGGAGTTTTCTTGCATAAACTCCATATCATCAAAGGTGATCAAAATCTTCTACATTAGACATCCTGACTAAAACTTTCATTTTAAATTATAATTCATCCTTCTGTGAAATGTACAGGCAAGAAATAAATAATTTAGTAAATGCATGGAGAGCTTCAGAATTCAAAAACCATATTTAATCAAAGAATGTATAAACAAAATTAAAATATATTGTCTGCTGAAGTAGAGGGTAACATGAATCTGTATATATATCAGCCATCTGTGGAAATCTTCCTAGAAAATTACCCCCTGAAGGAACACACTGCTAATTCAGCTGATGGAGTCCAGGTTGCCCACCCAAGCTCATCTCAGACAGCAGTGAATTTCAACAGTAAGATAAGCATGATCTAATTAATTGTAACATGTTGTACATGGAGTAATGATATAATGACAAACATTTTTCTTGACTGATAAGCCTATTAATAAAGAAAAGGGGAATGATTATTTGACAATTTTATCTAAGGAGGAGAAAAAACAATCACAGATATTCTGGTTGTATAACAGAATATACCTTGGTGGGGAGGAGTGCACAGGGTAATGGACTGGTCAATGTTTGCCTCTGCAGCTCCTTTATTGTGTATACCAGTGGTATACTTACTACTCTTACTATTGCCAATGATGACAGCAACAATGGAAATGGTTCTGAGGATGACGTCTCATTTTCCTGGGTGCTAAAGGACTCTGCTAATCATTTTAAATTCTGTCATTTAATACTCACAACAAAAATATAAGTTGGCACAATTATTTTTTTTCTTGTTTTTATTAAGAAACAGAGGTTTTGTGACATTACGTAAATTGCCCAACGTTGTGCAGCCCATGAGTGGTACAGATGGAACTTCTGTCCAGGCCTGTTGGATGGGCAGCTTATAAGTCCATTCTCATAATCACCATCAGCCCATCTGGTGGTTATTCTGTTTCCTTTCTTGTTTGTTTCATGATCAACCTAAAGTTAAATCTGTAAAAATGCCATGCAGAGGGCCAAACCCAGGACCCACTGTCACCTAACCAAAGCACGGGTCATGAGGTCCACTTTGAAATAGCCACTGTGCTTCTCCTCACAGCTTTAACCACACCAGCCCGCCATCCACCGACTCCAGTTTGTCTAAGGCAAGCACTAGAGCTCTCCTTAATGCCGCTTATGTGAATCTTTAAAATCCTATTATTGGTTTCTGAAGGCTTTCATCCATCACCCCCTCGCGATGAATCTCTAACAAGGCTTTTGCTCCTCCTTTCACTTTCAGATTCCCTCATCCTCAATAAATTTCTTAGTGAAGTCACAATTAATCTTGAGTAGCACATTAACCTTGTTCATATCAGAGTAACCCTGCAAGTTTTGCAGTTTTACATGCGATGAGAGACAGGTACCTCACACGCTACGAGTCTCCTTTCACTGTGGGCAGAAGGGTAAGGATGAACTTTCTGATCTCTGCTTCCATTTATCTCAGTTCCCAAGCCAGGCGTGGGTACCGGCAAGGCTCTGCCTGCCTCCCAGCTTTTAGATAACTCTGGCTGATCTGTCAGCATTTTCCTCTCTTATCCACTTATCATCTGATAAAGGTCCCTTTGCATCTTCCCATTTTCTTAAGTGCCAATTCTCAATGAATTAGTTTGAATTAAAAATTTAAACTTCTTGAACTATATGGAAAATTGAAACCTTTTATTTAATTGATTTTTTTTTCAAAAATGCCCCTCCGAATGCCTGAGTGACTAGATTCTCCTTCCAAGAGCATCATCTTTTTGCATTCAGAGATTCAGCTCATAACTCATAATCACTATACCTCCAAATCACTATACCTCTGGTTACTTTCTGAGTCCACCAGAAACAATTCCTCCACTCAGTGCGGTTACCTGATGGCATTCTGCCGGAAGCAGGACAGCTGTACTCAGGCTCAGAGCAAAAAGCTTTGCATATAGTGCGATTGGAAGGCGACACAAGCACTCCCTCCCCCTTATGACTCATATATATTTCCCTTGCCCATCTGTCATGGAACTTGAAATTCCAACCATTTTTATCATATTTCAAATTTAGACATTAAAAGCCTTTTTAAAGTATAATTAAGTCACCTGAGAAGGGTCACCTTTCCAGGCCTTAATGGCCGTTAACAGCAAAGTGAGGATGCATTTTGAGTCACTTTAATGACTCAGGAAGGACAAAAAGAGAATAATAGAGTGACATGATAAACTTAGATGGGATGGGATGTCAGGAGAGTTGTGGGTCAGGTAGGTGGTTCCACAGCTAGAGGGCAGATCTGAATGCCGCTCCGTGGGAGAATGTTCGGGAGAGTCAGAATGAAGGATGAGGTTTATCAACATAAATGAGTTGGTGGAGGAATAAGTCATACAAAAGTGGAAGTGGGCAGAGAGTTTGGGAAGACACTGAAGTATATATATTTATTCAAAAAAATTTTAGAGACCCAAATTTATTTTGAAATGAGAAATTTAAACTCAATACTTGTTTTCCTTCTTTTTATAACAGGGAATCATAGCAAAGACAAAGTAAAGGGATTTCTATATCTGATGAGATGGGCCTGGCAATATGTATTCCTCCCAGGATTTCCTAACTGAAACTCCAGATTTAATCAAACCAGAATGATGTACATGTGTCAAATGGGAAGTTTTTATTTTTTATTTATTTTTATTTTTTTATTTTAGCGTATTATGGGAGTACAAGTGTTAAGGTTACATATATTGCCCATGCCCCGCTCCCCCTTTGAGTCAGAGACTCAAGTGTAACCATCCCCAAAACGTTGCACATCTCACTCATTGTGTTTGTGTATACCCATCCCCTCCTCCCCCTCCCACCTGCCCAACACCCGATAAATGTTATTCCTATATTTCTACTGAGGTATTGATCCTTTAATACCAATTTGCTGGTGAGTACATGTGGTGTTTATTTTTCCATTCTTGAGATACTTCCCTTAGTAGAATGGGTTCCAGCTCTATCCAGGAAAATATAAGAGATGCTATATCACCATTGTTTCTTAAAGCTGAATAGTACTCCATGGTATACATATACCACATTTTATTAATCCACTCATGAATTGATGGGCACTTGGGTTGTTTCCACAGTTTTGCAATTGTGAATTGTGCTGCTATAAACATTCGAGTGCAGGTGTCTTTTTCATAAAGTGACTTTTGACCTTTTGGGTGGATGCCCAGTAGTGGAATTGCTGGATCAAATGGTAGATCTACTTGTATCACTTAAAGGTATCTCCATACTGCTTTCCACAGAGGTTGAACTAGTTTGCAGTCCCACCAGCAGTGTAGGAGTATTCCTCTCTCTCTGCATCCACGCCAACATTTATTGTTAAACGGGAAGTTTTCAAGTTCTGTTATGGAGAGTGGCATCGGGCAGATCCATTAGGTTTAGTTAACTAGCATGTTTCACTAGTATAAAGCCTCATAAACTACAGGTTAGACGAAAGAAAAAGAGTATAATATATGGAGTTTACAATGCAGAGAAGTACTTTTTAAACAGAACATTAAACATTGAAAGATAAAAGTCATCAAATAGAGAGTTATCATGAAAGAAAAAGGAAGAACAGCTGATCTGCCTATAATAGCAACACCAGCAGATTAACCACTTCAAACTGATTATTGGTCAATAAGAGAGAACCCATTAAAAAGATCAAATGGCCAAATATAGGAACACAAAACCCCTACTGCAGAAAGATGAGTTTTGAAAATTAGACCAAAAGGCGAAAGCTGTTATTAAGGTAAAGATAAATCAGTAGAGCACAGATCACTAAGGATGACAGTATCTGGAAAATCAATAGCTACAACAACTCCACTTTCTGGGGGTGACAGACTCAAAGGGCTCCAGAAATAATTAAAGAGAAGAAAGAGACACAGAGCTTGTTGGTAACAAAAGGGGCTGATCAACTGGGGATAATCCGAGGGATATTTACATCAACAGAGAATCTTAAATAGAAAAGGGGTGTGTGTGTGGGGGGGGGGTTGGAATTGCTTTTGTAGAGGAAACCAATTAGAACTCCACTATGAAGTATTTTTTTGAAAAAGAATAAATCTTTGTGAAAAACAAATCTGGGAATAGGAGCTCTCCTCACAAGTTACTAGGAGCTCAGTCTCTGTGGATCTCTTAGACTATGCTGGAATTTCCTCTAATTCTGGAGTCACGGGGAATGTATCCATAAAGGTAGCCATAGGGGAGTAGAAGGAACATGCTTAATTTTTTGAACTACTTTTAAAGTTAAGCCATCTAGTGGAGTGCCCTTAATAGAGATAGATAAAATTGGAAAACAAAGAAAACAGCCAGAAAAAAGGGAGCGGAGAAAGAAAGAAGTGGTTACATATATGCAAAAAAAGGAGAAGAAAGACACAAGATGAAGCAAACATATGATTTTTTTTTTTTTAGCCTTTATGAGGTGCCTGTGGTGTGGTATCTCCTTTACAGTTTTTAACTCTTTGTATCCTTTTGAAAGTTATTATTAAGCCCATTTTACAGGTAATAAAACTGAGGCACAGAGCTTACTATTTCATAGCTGACAAAACTACTGGCATCTATAATTGAGGGATGTCTGTGTCACTTGAGCAACCATACTTTTCTGAATATATTAGGTTTCATAGATTTGGATTTAGAAGACCTGCATTCAATCTTTCTCTGTCACATATCAGCTATGAGGTTAAGTTAATGCAATTATTTATTTGTTATTTATACTTATTAAGTGCTTACTGTGTGACAGTGGCTCTTCTAGATGCCTAGGATGCAGCAATGGGTAAAACAGACAAAAATTTCCATTTTTATAGAGCACATATTCCAGTGGGGAAAGCTCTGACAAGTCAATACGTTTCTCTGTTGTCTCATTATCCCTAAAATGCAACTTTTATAATATGTCATTCACAAGATCTCTTTCTACATCTGAACTTGTCAGTTGTAAATTGTGATATGTTTTACAAATAATGTTCCCCTCTTATCACCTAGACCATGCCTGGCATGCAGTGGTGCTAAATAACTGCAACATAAGAGAAAAGCAGTGGGGAGGGAGGGGGAGGTAGGAGATGGGGCACAGACATTAGGTGGGGGTGAGGCTGGGGGTGGGTGCTATTCAGTGGCTTCCATATTTCAAGGCAGAAGCAGAGTAGAATATTATCAGAGATGGATATTTTCAGCCCAATCCCAGGAAATATATTACTTTTCTGAGAAAAATAAAATTACGGTCTGTGCAGCTTTCAAAGAAATTAATTTATATTTGGGGTTGGAATGGTAGGATTGATATGGGGGCCAGTAAAGTAACAAACTAGAGAGATCACATGAATAAGACCAAAACTTTCACACTCGTAGATCCAAGTGCTAATATTAGAATGGATGCT